TATTATATAAATTTTATTATATAAATAAGTATGCATACTTTTAATGTTATATATATTATTGAAAAATTACAATTTTTTTTTATCTCAATTTTTGCAATTATCTCTATTGATAATTAAACTCGGATGATAATATTAAAATCACAATTTTAAATAAAAATCGAGTATTATTAAGTTTTAGATATATGTACATGTGTACGTACCTGCATCATGATTAGTCACTAGCACTGAAATTTAGGATAGAGATCCTATAATCAAAGTTTAACAAAAGCGGGCACAACTTCTGATTGGTTCTCCATCTTGGCCACTCGGTATTCTTCAGATAGCTTCGTATGTACACACAGGAATAGTGTCCCTCGGCGACTTAGCCACTGCCGACGCGCGCACCAATAGTATCAATACTCATACCAGCAGTGACACTACTGTATTTCAATAGTAATACTATTACACTAGCAGTGATACTAATAGTATATTTTTATTGTAGGAAACGTAGTCAAATGTAGCAACATCAAACAACATATAGCAAATATGGTGATAAAAATGCCGATCGGAATGTACCAGAAACGATGACAGCCATATTGAATATTAATTTTTCATTTCTTATGTCATAGCTATAGCCATAAATGCTGGTAACGGAAAAACCTGTGTCAAAGAAGTTGGAAATCGTTCTGAGATTTCGGAAAGAGAAAATTAATAAATTATAATTGCATAATTCGGTCAATTCGATCAACTCGATTGGTTTATTCAGGTATTGTCACATATTTTAACACTTTTTGAATATGCGTTCATACGAAAGCAACAACGTGTGTTTTCCATCAACATAGATAGGTGACACAGGTAAGAAATTTAGAGGAAATAGGCACAACAGAGAAGCTATTAGCTTCAAAGTTATGTGGAAGAATGAAAATCTATCATTATTGAGGAGATTAGGCCTTGATTCGAAGTACCCGGATATTTTTCTCGTGTTGTTGCTTATTTCTTACAGCTTCAGAATTGGGATTATATCTGCTACTCCTTAGTAGGAGAGGACTAGGATTTTAGAAAAATGTTCTGAAATCAGCTGCCCTAAGAAATCGAAGGTGAGGATGCCCAAAGTGATTCGGTAAAAGAGAGATTAGGACTCAGATGCAGAACAAGCATAGAAATAATGAATGACTCAAAGGAATAATGGATGCCTAGAACGTAAAATATGCAAGATTGGGTAGTGCTAAGTTAAAAAGATAAAAGTTAAGTTAAAAAGTCAAAAAGTTAATTTTAACTTAACTTACTTACATTTTAGATTTTTAACTTTTTACTTAATTAAATTTTATTCGTAACTATTAATTTTGTATTTAATTCTTTGAAGTTAAGTCTCAAAGACATAATATGCAGCAATAGTGATAACTTAAAATGAAATAAAAATTACAAAAGTGAACAAATTTACTAAGTGTTGACCAATGAAATTATAAATATTTTAGTAAATTTGCTTTTATAATTTTCACTTCATTTTAAATTACATAATCGATCTCCAGATTTCAATCTGTCAGAAATCGTATTTCAATGTATTTAGTTTCTGATAGATTGAAATCTATTCCTTGCTATCGCTACTCCCTCTTATTGTGTCTGAAGCTTTAGTCACAAGTCTGTATTTATAGTCGAATCTTATATACTAAACAGTATTTATAAACAAAACATGTAAATAAAATAGTTTTAGATAGTTTTTCTAAATGAGATTTTCTAAATGAAGTATATATTTGTCATTTCCGTTATTCGAATTATTCCGTTATTAAGACTGAAATTAGAATCATGAATTAAAAAAAAATAAAAAACAAATTTAACTTTTAACTTTTCAATTACGTTTTTTATTAACTTAACTCGTAATTCAATTAATTTCATTATAAATTAACTTTTGTATCATAATTAAGTTTTCAAGATTATTAACTTTAAAAAAAAGTTAACTTACCTTACCCTGAAAAAAACGTATCGAAAGTTGTTGCCCGATAGATAGTGGTCGTATACTGAGGACACTCGACGACCTCTGGAAAAAGATAGTCACTCAGATATGACGGGAAAATGCCATAGGGATGTGCTAAGTAGATGTATAGTCAGGTTGGTCGAGCTCATTCCAATATTATGATCAGAAATATACATCCGGGATGGATGTAATATCAGGCTGGGAACTGTAAGAAATTTAGAGGAAATAAGCACAACAGATAAGCTATCAGCGTCAGAGTTGGGTGGCTCAGTGGAAGTCTATTATTACGGAGGAGATCAGATCTCGGTTCGAATTTCAGAGTGCCAAAAATGATATTTTTCTCGTGTTGTCGCTTATTTCTTACACAGTGTAACAATGGCCTAATTTACACCGAGGATTCGAACCGAATCAGAATGCAAGAACCAACCAATTACAGTTGAGTATTCTGTTACAGTCAAACAATTTTTGATGGAAATTAGGTCACTGTTTCTTACACAGTGTGTTCCAAAAAAAACTATGACACAGTGTTAAGGTTCGTCTACACAAGGCATAACATGGCATATGCAAGGGCGTAAGCAAGAGAATTGTTCTCAATCGTAGTGGCGTGACGCAACGGTGCAACAAAAATAAATTAAACGAGATTAAGAATCTTTATTTTAGACCGCATATGTGAGAAACATAATCAATACTAGAAATGTAAAATGCCTATTACGGTCGAAGCTGGATCATTATTTAAATAATTTAATCTTAAATTACTAATATGCACTATACAGGATGTCTCACCCGTCCACCATTTTATCTCTGCAGGATAAAATCCAATCAAAAATATGTTCAGACCAAGTTGTGGGGTTTAAAAAGATCTATTTATTGATCATATCAGTTTGATCTTGGGTGGTTTTGCCACAATCAGATCAAGATTAAATTGATTTTTTTAAATGAAACATCCTACTTTTTATTCTAGAATCTAATAGTCGATGTCAAGACGTTATAATAACTTTCCAAAACGTTATAATAAAGTATCTTTTGATTAAGTAAATCTTAAGTTATAAAAATTAAAAGTTACAATACCGCCGGCATTAGCATTATCAAGTGTACCGCGTAAAAATTGCCCGGTCGGATTTACACTTTGTGTGTGTGTGTGTGTGTGCGCGCGCGCGCGCGCGTGTGCGCGTGTATGTGTGTGTGCGTTCGCGTGCGTGTGTATGGGGGGGATGAGTTGTGTGCGCGCGCGCGCATCTATATGCGGTGCGTACTTGCATATGTTGGTGTTTCTGAAGAAGTAAATGTTTACTTTATGATAGTTTATGACATACATCAAGAGTTGTTCGTGCAGTACTAAACTATGTTCCCGAAATAAATAAATAGTCAAATATCCACCTCGATCATCGGACCTCACTATTCTTGATTATTATTTATGGGGAAGGATAAAAGACATGATATGCTGTGAACATCTAACTATTGATGATATGATTCGTAGAATAACTGAAGCAATTCGATTCTTGGAAGCTAATGAAATGCAATTAATTCCTTCTAAAACAAAGTAGATGCTTGCATCGTAGAAAACGGTCATTTTGAACTCTCATAAACTCTCATAAACAAGTAAACATTTACTTATTCAGAAACACCATGCAAGCGCACATGCACGCACAGGAGCGCTGTAAGTATACTGATAAATAATACATTGGAATCACTTGTGTGATAACAATTCTGATTGGTCGCTCGACTATCACGTGATTACATT